AACGCTTCCGCAAACCGAACAAGAAGCTTTCGGGCACACGTTGTTCGACAGGCGCATCCGCACATGTCCAAAATGCGTTGCCCGGGTGCTTGATCTGCACCCTGCCGAATATGTTGACGAACTTGTCCAGGCAATCAACCTTACCAAACTTAGCGAAGATAATAATATTAAAATCGCACTTTGTGAAGATGCCGATGTATGCCGGTACTTCCATACGGTCGGAATGTTCCTTCAAGAAGGTTTTGGCCACGTCCAGGGTCGCAAAATTACCCAACCCACCGACAACAGCATTGCACTCTCGGCCCCTATTTGGTGTAAGGTCGCCGAGCTGCTTCTCGAAATCCGATAGCTTTTGTTCAATGTGTGATGTAAGGCTCGCTGCTGCTGCGGAGGTTGCGGAAGGCGACTGGGATCCAGTACCTTCAAGGGCTTCCATTCGTTCGGCGAGCTCCTTCATGCCGGCCTTGATGGGATTTAAGGGTGGTGTCCAACTCCTCTCCGGAGACGCCGTGCAGCTTAGTGGCCTCCATGTCCTTGTGGATGGGGGTCGGGTGGAAGGCAAGCTGCCTTTCGAACACGTTTTCGATGGCAGCCATGCTGATATCTCCAGGTGACGCTGATGCACTTCACGTTGGAGTGCCACCGCTCCAGAACAGGCTGCAGCAGCAAGATCACCTTCGAATTGTTGTTGGCGTTGCACGCGGAGGTCTTCGTCGTCGTCGCCCATGCTGTTCAGCGGGCTTTCATGACGAGCAGCCTTCTGCTTGCCTTGCGATGCTGCCGGTGCCTTGGAAGAAGAGGATGATCCGAAACGATGCCTCACAGGGGTTCCTGGCGCGCGCGCAGTGCCTCCAGCGCCTGCAGAAAACATCGGGGTGGAATCGAAGTGTTAGTGCCTCACGAGAACAATGGGAGGGCAGAAGAAATGTAATCAGTATGAGAAGGGTCCCTGGTTACAGCGGGAAGTTCTGTTCAGAATCGTGGCGCACCACTGGGAAAACGCGCACCCCCTGAGCCTGAGCCTTGAGCTACGACAGCTTGAGCCGGGAGCGAGCTTGATGGTTTCTAGCACGATTCAGGATCGTCAAGGCGCCATAATCAGGTTGACTCGTGGCGTTGAAATTCCGAGAATGGTGTTTTGGCACGCTTCAGGATATTCAAGCGGTTGTCTCCCAACGGGGTACTTTCCTCAGTGAGAACAAACCCTTGTGAGGGCCTATGAAGGGGGATCTTGAAGGGAGGGTTTACTCGAACATCGTTGAGGAATCGTGGGTTATACTGGCCCTCTTCCTCCTCCTCCTCCTTCTCCTCCTCCTCCTCCTCCTCCTCCTCCTCCTCATTCTCCTCCTCCTCCTCCTTCTCGCGGCTCCCTGGGAAGCTGCGAACTGCGCAACTGTTGCCACTTTCGTGGGCTCCTGGGAGATCCAGCGGAGTAGGGTGTCACGCAGACCTCGCCGAGACCTCGCGGCGTCCTGGGAACTCCGGAATGCGCAACTGTCGCCACTTTCATGGACTCCTGGGAAGCAGGGCGGAGTATGGGTTAAGCACACCTCGCCCAGACCTCGCGCCTCCCTTGGGGGCTGGTAACTGCGCAACTGTCGCCACTTGGTGGGCTTCTGGGAGGTCTGGCGGACTGGGGTGGCACGAACACCTTGCCGAGACCTCGCGGCTCCCTGGGGGGGCTGGCAACTGCGCAACGTCGCCACGTTCGTGGGCCTGGGAAGTCCAGCGGAGTGCTGGGACCCGCACACCTCGCCGAGACCCTGCGGCGCCCTGGGGGGCTGACAAGTGGGCCATTGTCGCCACTTTCGTGGGCACCTGGGAGGTCCAGCGGAGCGGGACGTCACGCACAGCTAGCCGAGACCTCGCGGCGCCCTGGGAGGCTGCGAAGTGCGCAGGTGTGGCCATTTCCGTGGACACCTGGGAGGTCCAGCGGAGTGGGGTGTCACGCACACCGCGCCGAAGCCTCGCGGCGCCCTGGGAGGCTGCGAACTACGCAGCGGTCGCCATGTTCATGGGCTCATGGGAAGCAGGGCGGAGTGGGGTGTCACACACAGCTCGTCGAGACCTCGCGGCACTCTGGGGGGCTGGCAACTGCGCAACTGTCGCCACTTTCGTGGTCTCCTGGGAGGTCCAGCGGAATGGGGTCTCACGCGCCCCTCACCGAGACCTCGTGGCTCCTGCGCACTGCAGGTCTTTCAACATGCTCGTTCGTATTGCACGGTCCTGGGTATAATCACCACATGTTCACAAAGGGTTGGATACGTCCCCGGGTAATCTGACAATACGTTGGAGGTCTGGGGCTGGGGTCAGGTCGGGCACGTCCTCCTACAGGCGGATTCTGGAAGTCAAGACATGCCCCAAAGTAGTCCATAGATCGTCGACAAAAGTCGTCGCCTGACTATGTTTTCACTGTTTTCGAATTATCCCCCTGCAGAGGGACATGCCCGACTTAAGTGAAGGGGCCCTGGGACACACGAATAGATACACACACGTAACAGGATACCCCATAGTTTCCCATATATTTCCTGGGTTTTTGTCTTCCGCCCCCCCACTTCCCATGTTTTCCCATATTTTCCTGGGGATCGACGATGAATTGTGTATGTGTGTTTTTCTCCCTCCTGGTTAAGGCTGGGGGCCCGAGCCCGGCCCGAGCCCGGAGCGGGAGCGGCGGCCCAGCGCGCGCCGTGCAGTGCCCGTGCCCGTGTGCCGTGCCCGCCTGCGTCCGACGCGAACCCGGGGAGGGAGAGGAGGAGGAGGAGGAGGAGGAGGAGGAGGAGGAGGAGGAGGAGGAGGAGGAGGAGGAGGAGGAGGGGAAGGACGAGGAGGCGGAGGAGGAGGAGGAGAAGGCGGAGGAGGAGGAGGCGGAGGAGGGGGGAGAAGAGAGGAGGAGGAGGAGGAGGAGGGGAAGGACGACGACGAACGCTACGATCCCAGCTGATGTGAGTTCACCGGAAAAGAGGAGGAGAATGGGAAGAGGAGGAGGAGGAGGAGGAGGAGGAGGAGCAGCCGGAATTCACAGCTACCTCGCCGAGGATAGTTAGACTGGCACACCAGAATGCACAGCTAGCTCTCTGGAGGTATAGCGCACTAGCTCCTTGACTGATCCCGCTCTTTCCCCAACTTCCCCTCTCTTTCCCTGCTCCTTGCCGCCGACGGGCGCGCGCGCGCGCGCCTAACGGTGTGGTCAGGTGGCTCACACCACACAGCCGCGCCCCCGTCTCCTCCGCCTTCCTGTTCCTCCCTGCTCCCTCCTGTCTCCTCCCTCCTCCCCCTCCCTCCCTTTGATTGTTTTTTGAGGCGGCGTGTCATGTAGCTAGTGCCCACGTGAACTGTAGCCCTCCACGTGGGCACTTAGAAAAGCCTCCCGATAGACACACCCCTCGCGTGGGCGCTGGACAGACCTCCTCACACGTCTAGCCCTGGTGGTCACTCGCCCCAAAGCTGGTCGAGCGCCAGGGCTGCGGAGGAGGAGGGGGGGGGGGGCGGGGGGAAAAAGGAGGAGTAGGAGGACAAGTGCAAACCCAAGAGTCATCAACGATGTTGGAATAAACCCTCCCTCCAAGCTCCGGATAAAGATCCTGAAGCGTGCCCAAAACGTCACTCTCGGATTTCCAACGCGACGAATCATCAACCTGACTGTTGCGTCTTGACGCTCCTGAATCGTGCCAGGTCCTGGGACTTCAACACCGCGAATCAACGGAATTGTTGCGCCCTAGCACTCCTGAATCGCTCCAAACCACAATTTCTGTTACGTTAACAATGGGAACCCGTGAAACCCTCGCAAATATCTAAAACGAATTTGCGCGGCGCTAAGGCGAGGACACACTTTGAAAATGAACCGCCCTCAACCCGCGGAATTATTGCAAACGTTTAACACGACGGTGCGCGGTTCTACAGCGAGAGCCACATTTTGAAAACGGCCCGCCGTCAATCCGCCAAGGTGTTGCAAAATGTTCTAACACGAATGTACGCGGCGATCAAGCGAGAGCCGCATTTTGGAAGCAACCCGCCCTCCATACGTGAAACTCTTGCCAAATTCTGAGCTCCAGGACACACAGAAACAAAAAAAAAAAAAAAAAAAAAATCTCAGACAAAACGCCTAGCCCGCCCTTCCGACTGGCCTCGGGGTGCGACACTGAAGAGTTACTTATTAGCAAAGGAGGAGGAGGAGGAGGAGGAGGAGGAGGAGGAATAGGAGAAGGAGCAGGAGGAGGAGGAGGAGGAGGAGGGGTTCGACTAGGGGGAGGGGGAAGGGGGGAAGGGGTGGAGGAGGGGGAGGAGATGGAGGAGAAGGAGGAGGAGGAGAAGGAGGAGGAGGAGGAGGAGGAGAAAGAAGAGAAAGAGGAGGAGGAGGAGAAAGAGGAGGGCGAGGGCTGAGCCGCGCCGACCACCTCCCGGCGCTGCAGCGGCGAAGGCGGGGCGGCGCCCGCCAGCTGGAGGCGGCGGCGCCGAGCGGCAGCAGCGGGCGCCCGGCGAGCGGACGGGCGCGGGCGCGGCGGCGCGTGGGCGCGTGCTCGCCCTCGCCGACTGCCCCCGGGGGTCCCCTCGGACTCGGGGACCCCCGGGAACAGCAGAGGGTCTGCGTCGTCGAACGATGGCGTGAGGGCCAACCCCGTCCGCAATTCGACAGAGAGGCTGAAAAAGCAAAGCAGGCGATGAAGCGATCAACGGAAGAGCAAGTGGCATGCCTGCGCCTCGTCACCGCTCAGCAAGCAGAGGGAGGGAGAAGAGGGAGGAGGAGGAGGAGGAGGAGGAGGAGGAGGAGGAGGAGGAGGAGGAGGAGGAGGAGGAGGAGGAGAGAGGAGGAGAAGGAGGAGGAGGAGGAGGAGGAGGAGGAGCAGGATAAACGAGGAGGAGGAGAAGGAGGAGGAGGAGCACCTGAAGAAGGGGAAGGAGGAGGAGGATGGGGAGCAGGATAAGGACGAGGAGGAGGAGGAGGACGAGGAGGAGGAGGACGACGAGGAGGAGGAGAAGGAGGAGGGACAGCAGGATGAAGCGGCTGTCCAGCGCGCGCAGCCACGCGTCCAGCAGCAGCGCCCCGGGCACGCCGAGGCGCCCCAGCCCGGCGGCGGCGCGCGCCGCCCACGCCTCGGCGCTCGGGGGGGCCCGCCTCCCGGCCCCTGGCTCAGCCGCGAGGGTTTCGTCCATGGGAGCCCCCTCCTCCTCCTCCTCCTCCTCCTCCTCCTCCTCCTCCTCTTCTTCATCTTCGTATTAGTATTATAAGTCGCCTTATTATTCTTAGAATTTGCATCAGTAGTATGATTGTTCGTAAAATTGTTGTTAGCGTTGGTATTATTATTGTTAGGATTAATCTGATTATTTTAGTTCGTAGTAGTATACGTCTTAGTCGTATTACTATTATCGTTAGCATTATCAGTATTACTCTTATGCTTATTCTCAATATAATGAGTACCCTCCTTCCTGCGACTAGTCTTATTATAATCATTCCTTGTACTATTATTCATAGTTGTATGTTTCGTCTTGTTATTCTTAGTGCCAGTATTGTCAGTCGTCATCTTATTACTCTAGTATTCGTAATATGCCTATTCTTACTATTCGCAGCATTCTTCTTATAGTTAGCATTAGTCGTGGCATTAATATTATTATTCGTGCTAGTGTGTGTTAGCAGTGTTATTCTACTTCGTATTAGTATTAGTATTAATATTACGAGTTGTCTGTGCATCATTCTTAGTATTATTCGTAATATCATGGTTCTTATCAGTAGTCAACTTATTCTGATTATTATGACCCTGAATTTCGTTAGTATTAAGATTACAATTAAGTCTTATGTTTGATAATATTGTTCTCAGTATGATTATTATCATTCGTGTTCGCACTAGTCTTCTTACGATTAGTACTGTTATTATTATTAGTCGTATTCTTGCTATTATTGCTATGATATGATTCCGAATAGACTTCTTAACATGAGTGTTATTCTTAGTGTTATTGCTATTATTACTAATAATATGATTGTTCATAGTGTTATCCGCCGACCCCTTGTGGGTCTCTAGGCGTGTGAAACCATCCCCCCCCACACAATCCCCCCCCAAGGGACCCCAAACCAGCAATTTGACCCCCCCCTGGCCCGGCGCGACCCTGGACCGAACGCGCCATGGGGGAGCGGAGGGCTCCAAAACGGGCCAAGAAGGTACCGAAACGCTCCCCAGACGGTCTCAGAGGGCCACGAGTCGCCGAAATATCGCTCCTTGACGCCCGCGATGGCCTCCAGACGGCCTCCGAAGCTGCCAAGACGCCCCAAAAGGCCCCCAAGATGCGTCCCAAGAAGGCCCCAAGAAACAAAAATCGTCACACTCCTTTTTTGTGCATGTTTCGCACACTCGCCTTTTCGGCTTTCACAACGTCCAAGACGGGCAAAGAAACCTTCAATATCGCCCCCAGACGGCCGAAGGGGCCCCTAAGAGGGGTCAAAGAGGATCCAAAATCAGCCCACGAAGCTCCCAAGACAGCCCAAGAGGGCCCCCAGACGGCCCCAAAAGGGAGTCCAGAGGGCATCTTTTCGAGCCTTTGGCCCCAAGACGCCCCCAGCCTGCCCAGAGAACTCCTCAAGAGGCCCTCAGGGACCCCCAAGAGAACCTCAAAGGCCAACAAGAAGCCCCCAGGAAGCCCCCAAGAGGCCCCAAAATTTGGCCCAAGATGCCTCGAGGCGGCCGGATATGGCCTGCAGACAAGCCAAGATGCCACCTAAGGCCACAAAAGAGCACCAAGAGGTACGATAACAGCAACGAAACAACAGGACCGATGTCGAGCGCCGTGTCATGATTCGGACAAGCCTCGTGGAATGCAGTCCTGGAGGCGCAATAGTTGATATAGGGGCCGGCGGATGTGGCGTAAGCCTATAGAACTACTGCTGCTCGTACTCTTACTACAATAACATTACTAGTATGTTATTAGGAGTATATGTAGTGTTATTGTTATTATTCTTATTCGTAAGATGCTTCTTATTCTAGATAGTATTGCATTGTGATTTGTAGTATTGATAGTGCTCTTCTAGTAATACTATTTGTCGTACTTCCATCTTCTTATTGTTGATAGTATTAGTATTCTTAGTATTATGATTGGGATTGTTTTCTTGTGAGTAGTAGTATGCTTATTTAGTTTATTACTATTGCTATTATTCCTCATCCTCCTCCTCCTCATCCTACTCCTCCTCCTCCTCCTCCTCCCTCCGCCTCCGCCTCCGCCTCCGCCTCCTCCTCCGCCTCCTCCTCCACCGCCTCCTCCATTCTTCTTCCTTATCAATAACTTCCCCCTGTCGCACCCCGAAACAAGATTTTAGGGCAGGCTGGGCGATGCGCCTGAGACTTCCTCACCGCTTATGACTCTGAAGCTTCAAAATTGACATCAGTTTCACAGATGGAGGGCGGGTCGCTTTCAAAATGTGGTTCTCGCCTTAGCGCCGCGGCGGTTCGTTCTTAAAAGATGCGCAAGAGTTGTTTCACAGATTGAGGGCGAATGGTTTCCAAAATGTGGCTGTCGCCTGAGCGCCGCACACATTCGTATAACAAATACAAGAGCTTCACGGATTGACAGCGGGCCGCGCACATTCGTTCATAAAAGTTGCAAGAGTTTCATGGATTCCCATGATCAACGTACCAGAAACCGTGTTTTTGAAGGACTCAGGATTATGCCGATGCTAAAATTACGTTGATTCGCAGTGTTGAAGTCCCAGGAGTGGCATTCAAGACGCAACAGCCAGGTTGATCCCTGGCGTTGGAATCCCGAGAACAATGTTGCGGCATGCTTCAGTGTCTCCAAACGGTTGTCTTCCTACGAGGCAGTTCCCTCAATGGAAATGAACCGTTGTAGAGGCCAAAGAATAGGGAGTTTGGAGGGAGGGTTTATCCCAACATCGTTGATGACTCTTGGGTTTGCACTGGTCCTCCTTCTCCTCCTCCTCCTCCTCCTCCTCCCCCTCCCCCTCCTCTCCCTCCGCCCCCGCTCCTGGCCCCGGCCCCGGCCCCGGCCCTGGCTCCAGCCTCGGCCACGGCCCTGGCCTCAGCCCAAGCCACAAGCCCCAACAGAGCCCAAGAGACTCCCAAGAGAGCCCCAGGAAGGGCTCCAGAGCGTCAGCGTCGTCGCCGCTGCCGCCGTCGCCGTCCCCTTCAGGGTCGGCGGCACCGACTGGAAGGCCGCCCCAGCCACTAGATCAGCCACCTGCTGGTTACCAGACATCCGCCTGTGTGATGCGTTTCAATTCGCGGCCCCAGAGGTCCCGCAGGGGTGGTTTTTCATCCCTGGTCCATGTTTGATGGTCCCCGCGGGCCCGATAGCGGGCTCCGGAAGCCGAAATCCTAGAAGAAACACCGGATTGAAAAAAACAGATCCGCGGACCTCTGGGGCGGGGGCCCTGCAGGGCAGCCTGGGCGGGCATCCCCGGCGGGCATCCCCCGCGGGCACCCCTTGCGGGGCACCCCTTGCGGGGCCCCGCGGCACAACTCGGCGGCACGCCGCCCAAGGCACGGCAGAGGGCGTGGCACGACGCGCACGCGCCCTGGGCGGACGCGGCAAAGGCGGGCCGCCCGCCCGAGCAGCAGCGGAGCATCGTTCAACCGATCCCCTCAAGAGAAAAGAGGAGGGGGAGGAGGAGGAGGAGGAGGAGGAGGAGGAGGAGGAGGAGGAGGAGGAGGAGGAGGAGGGGGAGGGGGAGGAGGGGGAGGCGGAGCCATGAAGAAATCACAGCGTGAGGCTTTCGCTCGTTTGCGGTGGGACCGCCGCCGCCGCTTTCAGCTGCTGGTAGTCGTGGTGGTCCTCGTTGCGGTGGTCGTCGTCCTGGATCGAGGCTCGAGGTTCGACGCTTGTGTGGGCGTGTCGGGCCCTCGTCTGCGCTGGCGGTGGTCGTTATGGTGGTCGTCGCCATGGTGTTTTCTTCGGCCGCTGGCCTCAGGGGGTCGATTTTCTGAACAAAACCATGACATCGGGGGTCTGTGTTCAACCGATTCCGATCCCGGCCCAAAGCCGCTCCAGAATCGGCCCAGGACGGCTTCCCGGGCGCCGGAAGCAGAAATTCAGCATTTTCGAAAGAAAAATGTGTATTGGAATGGCCTCTTTTCGGCGCGATCGGAACTGCCCGGGCGTCCGGCCCGGGAGCCGGGCCGGGTGCCGGCTGGGCCGGGTGCCGGCTGGGCCGGGTGCCGGCCCGAGCTCGAGCTCGGGCCGGCACCCGGACGGCCTCCCGGGCGCCGGAAGCAGAAATTCAGCATTTTCGAAAGAAAAATGTGTATTGGAATGGCCTTTTTTCGGCACCGCCTCGGAACTCGATTTTCCGGCGCCCGGGCGCCGGCTCGGGCGCCGACCCGGGCGTCCGGCCCGGGAGCCGGGCCGGGTGCCGGCCCGAGCTCCGGAATCGGCCCGGACGGCTTCCCGGGCGCCGGAAGCAGAAATTCAGCATTTTCGAAAGAAAAATGTGTATTGGAATGGCCTTTTTTCGGCGCCGCCTCGGAACTCGATTTTCTGGCGCCCGGGCGCCGGCTCGGGCGCCGACCCGGGCGTCCGGCCCGGGAGCCGGGCCGGGTGCCGGCCCGAGCTCCGGAATCGGCCCGGACGGCCTCCCTCCCGGGCGCCGGAAGCAGAAATTCAGCATTCTCGAAAGAAAAATGTGTATTGGAATGGCCTTTTTTCGGCGCCGCCTCGGAACTCGATTTTCTGGCGCCCGGGCGCCGGCTCGGGCGCCGACCCGGGCGTCCGGCCCGGGAGCCGCTCTCGGCGGCGAGCAAGAGCACCGAGCCCGAGTAAAAAAGGAGGAAGTCTCGAGCCGGAGCGTTGTTGTTGTTGGGGGGCCGGTTTTGGCGGAACCCCAAAACGCCTGAGCGTGAGCCTCAATTTCAGAGGAAATGCGGCCGGCGCCTCGGCGAGAGCGCCAGGGCGAATATAGGGGGTCCAACAATAATAATTGCAACAACAACAACAACAACAACAACAACAACAACAACAACAACAACAACAACAACAACAACAACAACAACAACAACAATCATTTTACCCGAACGCGTGGTGTTCTCCCCAGTGCCAGGGTTTTCATACGACACCAGGCAATACCCCCACTTCGTGGGGGGGCATTACAAGCTCTA